TCACAAAGGACTCAAAGCCTATGTAAATACAGGGGCTAGAAATCTGTGCCCAGGCTCAAGAGTCTCTCGGAAGGCTAGGGACCCTAAGCCAGTGCCCCTACCTGACCCTCAGCTTCCTCCTTCCTGCAGTGGCTATGCATCTGTTGAGAGCCTGACACAACCTAGGTGCTAGGACAGAAGAACAAGGTGTATTCTGCTGGAAAGATTCTAGTCCAAGAATGAGCAATGTGCAGTCACTGCTGGGATGAGGGTGGAGGGGCCTCAGAGGCCACAGGTCCCACAAGATGACAGCAGAAAATGTTGCAGAGATCAGACAGGAGAGAGGAGCTGGAGTCAACTCCCGATGCCAGAAATGCTCTAACAAGGCACAGGGAAGAACATCTGGACAGTCTTAGGCCATGGAGGCTGAGAGAGAGGGACAGAGGCCCTCCTGGGTCAGGCTGAGAGGCAGAAGGGGAGAGAAATCCACCGGAAGGGGCTGGAGCTGACAAAGTCCTATTTCAGTTTGTGATAGGTCCCAGTGGCCTCAATGGGGAGCGAGCATCATGTGGCCTGGGGATGTGGCTCAATGGTGGAGTGCTTCCTAGAGAGTAAAGGTGACAGGGGGCCCACAGCTCAGCACATGCACTGTACCCTCCCTCTGAGCTCTGAGCCCTCCCCACCTCTTACCACTGGTTTATCCCAGTGCCTCAGAGGTAGTTGTAATATGACAACCGCTGTGGTCTTTCTTTTTTGGTTTGGATTGCTTTGTTTAATTTTGTTTTGTTTGAGACATTAAGGGTTTCTCTTAGAAATGCAACTTTGCATTATTTTATTTATTTTTGAGACAGGACTTGTGTAGCCCAAGCTGGCCTTGAACTCCTTATGTAACTGAAGATGACCCTGAACTTCTAATCCTCCTGCCTCCTTTTTCCAAGTGCTGGAATTACAAATGTGCCAGGAGCCCAGTTTGTTGGGTGCTGGGGATCAAACTCAAGGCTCCATAGACGCCAGACGAACATTATTCCGATGGAACTACACCTCCAGCCCCTACAAACAGCTTTCCATTGGCCTAAGTCCCACAGCTTTATTTTCAAATATCTTCCCTTCCATAATCAAGAAAGCCTTAGTTTCAGGGAATATCGATGTGGGAATTTGGGGGGAGAAGAGGCGCAATCACAGCCCCTGAACCTGGGAGCCTTGCGACAGTGCTGCCACCTGGTGGTGGTATACCTGCAGCACAGTATAGTGACTACTGACAATCCGGATTGGTTGGTTGGTTGAGACCAAGTCTTATGTAGGCCAGGCTGGCCTTCAATTCATGACAATCCTACCTCAGCCTCTCAAATGCTGGGACTGAAGACGGAGTCACCACATCCAGCTCAATGAGATATTTTTTAAGATATTAATTTTATGTGTATGAGTGTATTGCCTACATGTATGTAAGTGCACCCATGTCATCCAATGCCCACCGAGGTCAGAAAAAGGTGTTGGATTCCCTGGAGTTGGAGTTACAGATGGTTGTTATCAGCCATGTGGATGCTGGGAACCAAACCTGGGTCCTCTGCAAGAGAAGTCAGTGCTCTTAACCTCTGCGCCAATTCTCCAGCACCTCAATGAGATATTTTAACACTACTGAACTGTGTATTTAAAAATGATTAAGGGGGGGGGTGGAGAGATGGCTCAGCAGTTAAGAGCAAGTACTGCTCTCACAGATGTGAACAAAATTTCCAAAAAGAAGCTGCACCTTCCACTGAGTCTTCTCAAAGACTGATCAGCTGATTAGTGCCTTAATGATTGTGGAGAGTTTGGAATGTTGCAAGTCCAGAGTCAAATTATCTTGGAGCATCTTTGATGCCTTTAATACCACTTATTACCTTCCTCTGTACCTGCCCTAACATCTTTGTGACCATTAGGTAAGTCACTTAGAATGTACAAACAGCACTAGCTTCCAACCAACCAAAAAGCTAACAATACTGTCAGGTAGCATCTGAGGCCTGTTAATAGAGGGTTTCCTAGTTTACTTTATCCCATGCACCAGTGGATTTGAAAAGAGTATTGATCTATGGCTTTCTCTATTCTGTTACTGCAAAAACTTCATGAAAGTGCTGCTGTGCTGGAACTTGGCATTTGGGGTAACCTAAGCCTGTGCTCCTGGGCCATTGTCAGTCATATTTGGCTTAAAATAAATGATCCCTTATCTCCTTTGAAGTGAGAGTTGTGTTTTGGTTTTCTGAGGATTTATTTTTATCTTATGCATATGAGTGTTATGTCTGCATGTATGAGGCCAGAAGATCCTCTTGCCTCACATCCAGGGTCTCCCTGTGGCCCCAGCTGGCCTGGAACTCACTATGTAGACCAGACTGGCTTTGAACTCACTGAGACCCGCCTGCCTCTGCCTCCCAAATGCTGGGATTAAAGGTGTGGGCCACCATGTCCAGCAGGACTATGAATTCTTAACAAAAATCGGTAAGAACTATCAATCCAAATAAGGCCAGGCTAACACTATTGTCATTAGAAATGAGAAGGCAGCAAGGACGCCCACAAAGACTGATGCCAAGACTGATGCCAAGCTTTGTTTCAAAGCATCAGAGCAGAAGACGAATACCTCATATCAACATCTGAAAGGCAGGAGGCTGGAAGAGATGGCTCAGCGGTTAAGAGAACTGACTGCTCTTGTAGGACCCAGGCTCGATTCCCAGCACCCACATGGCAGCTATGAACTGTCCTTAACTCCAGTTCCAGGGGAATCCAAAGCCCTCCTCTGACCTCCATGGCACTGCACGACACGGGTGCACTTACTTACATGCAGGCAATAAAATACACATACACATAAAAGTAATAAATAAAATATTTTTTTAAAAAACATTTGAAAGGCTGGTAAGGGCCCTGGCAAGACAGCTTAATGAGTAAAGGCACTTGCTCACCACACATGATAATCTGTGTTTGAAACCTGGGATCCACATGATAGCACAATGTGCACTGTGGCATTCAAACACATGCACACACACACACACACACACACACACACACACACAAATAAGCAAATGAATGTAAAAAATTTTAAGTGAAAGCAAGTACAAGGGTTGGGGGTGTAGTTAGTTGGTAGCATGTTAGCCTAATATGTCCAAAGCCCTGGGTTTGATTCTAAGCACCACATAAACCAGTCATGGTTGTTGGTTGTGCATTCTTGTAATCCCAGCATTAGAGAGGTAGAGGCAGGAGGATCAGAAATTCAAGATCATCAGAAGTTCAAGGTTATCCTTGACTACATATTTACTTCAAAGTCAGCATGGGCTACATAAGACCCTGTCCAGAAAAAAAGTAAATAAGGAACCGGAGAGATGGCTCCGCAGTTAAGAGCACTGGCTGCTCTTGCAGAAGACCCAGGTTTGAGTCCCAGCACCCACATGGTGGCTAACAACTGTCTGTAACTCTAGTTCCAGGGGATCCGACGCCCTCTTCTGGGCATTGCACGACACGGATGCACCTCCCTACATGCAGGCATTACACTCATACACATACAATAAGAATAACAAATAAAACAAATAAATGTAGGTTACAAAAAAAGTATCTGTAAATGCTGCTGGGCACAGTGGCACACATCCTAGCAATGGACAGGATTAGGAGGTCATCCTTAGCTGCATAGTGAGTTCTAGGCTAGCCTGGGCTACATGAGATCCTGTCTCAAAAAACAAAGAAACCAAAAATATTTTAATCGCAAATATTACTATAATGTAGAAAATCTGAAGCTCCCCAAAGGCATTAAAATTAATTACTTAATTTGGAATATGTCCAAAAAACAGCTTTTATTGGAACTGGCAACAACAGCATAGGAAACAATATAGAGAAAATATTCCATTCATAAAAGCAACAAAAATACTAACTGCACAAAAACCAAGATTTAGGGCTGGAGAGATGGCTCAGTGGTTGAGTACTTGCTGTTCCTTTCAGAGGACCAGGGTTCAGTACCTAGCAAATATGGCAGCTCACAACCAGTTAACTGTCCATAACTCCATGGCGGGGGAATCCGCACCCTCTTCTGGCCTCCTATGGCATTGCACGACATTGGTGCACTTACATACATGCAGGCAAAACAATTATACACATAAAAATAGTTAACAAAAAAAGATCGCTAATGTAAAAATATAGCAATGTGGCGTTGGTGAGATGGCTCAGTCAGTAAAAGGTGCTTGACACAGAACCTGGCAACCTCAGTTGGATCCCCCACAGGATGGAAGGGGAGAACTGACTCCCTCAGGTTGTCCTCTGATCTCCAAAGGTGTGTCATGGCATGCCCCCCACCACCAAACAAAACGAATAATTAAATACGTGTAAAACTTTTCTTTAAAACTTTTTTTTTTTTCCTGCTGGGCTGGGCGCTGGCTCCGCGGATAAGGCACTTGCTATGTCAGTGTGAGGAGTGAGGACCTAAGTTTATTTTATTGTTTTTATTTTTTTGGTATGAGTGTATTGCCTGCCATGTAAGTGCACCTGTGTCGTGCAATGCCCAAGGAGGTCAGAAGAGGGGGACGGTTCCCCTGGAACTGGAGTTACAGATGGTTGTTAGCTGTCATGTGGGTGCTGGGATTCGAACCCGGGTCCTCTGCAAGAACAGCCAGTGCTTTTAAGTGCTGAGCTGTCTCTCAAGCCCCCACTTCTTACAACCACTCAAACGAGGAGCCACCAAAATGTCACAGGCTCAGAAAACGGGTCCATCCCTGTGACTGGAAACCCATGAGATGCATGATAGTTGCTATGACAACCAGAGTCTCTATGGAAGCCAGGTTCTAGATTAAGCTGTGAAGATGCTGAGGTGCTGAGCACAGTGCTAGATATGGACGCGACAGCGCGCACCAGGCAAGGAGAGCGGACAAACAAACATCACCGAGCTGCGGGGAACGACCCGGAGGAGTGCAGACTGCTACAGCCGGGGTATCGGCGGCTTTCGCGCGAGGCGCGGAGCTGCGCAGGCGCAGTAGGGACGAAGCGCGCGCGCGCGCGGGGTGGACGGAGCTGACCCGGTCTTCGCGCATGCGTACCTCGGGCGACGCCGTTGGCGGGTTATTCCAGGTTCTTCTCCCGGTAGAGCTGAAAGGTAGCTTTCGGACGCAGGTTTTCCGCTGGAAAGCGACTTTTGGAGGGTTCACCGCCGCCTTCCCTACCGGGATAAGTTGAAAAAGAAGTAGTTCTCTTGGTCGTCGGAGGGCATAGACCCAGTGGTCACGTGGCGGGTCGCTGTCACCTTCCGCCCGGCTCCTCCGGGGTCACCATGGCCGTGTCCACCCAGCAGCTGGCGGAGGAGCTGCAGATCTTCGGCCTGGACTGCGAGGATGCCCTGATGGAGAAGTGTGAGTCCCGCGCTCGTCCCCGATACTCCTAGGGTGCTGGTGCTTTAGTGCTAAGCTCCCAAGGCCTCTGAGTTGGAAATTGTTGGAGCCCCGATAGCTCCTCCATTTCCAATTCCATTTCCATGACCTAATCAGTCATCTGTTGATCCATCACTTTTCACATCCGAGTTTAGTGGTCTCTAAATAGCAGTCCCTTGAGGTAAGTTCTCAAAAAGGGATTTTAGCTTTGGAAGGATGCTTGTTGACGCCCTCCGCTTATAGATGGAAGAACACAGACAAGGAAAATAAATTGCCTTAACCCGGTGAGCCCCGTCTCTTGCCCTGGAGTGCAGTGCTCCACCACATTGGCCCATAGGGTCCATAAGGCCTTGATGCATACAGAATCCTGAGAGGCGGGTGTCAATTTCAGAATTGGGCTGAATGTATATTTGCTTTAATCACTCATCAACACCGAACTTATTTTAGAAGTCAAACCAGCATGTCAGTGGGCTTGTCCCAGCACTTGGGAGGCTGAAGCAGGTAGATCAGAGAGAATTTAAGGCCAGCTTGGGCTATGGCAAGTTCAGGACCAGACTGGGCTGAGATCTGTGGAGAGGGTGTTTTTGTGGATTTGTTGTTATTGTTGGGGGGAGGGGAAGCTGTTTAAGACAGCGGTCTCCCTGACTGGCCTAGAATTTACTAGGTAGACCAGGCTGGCCTAGAACTCATAGATTGACCTGCCTCTGCCTCCCTAGTGCAGTCAAGCCCTGGCAAGATCTTATCTTTAAAAAGAGAAAAGGGGCGCTGGAGAGATGGCTCAGTGGTTAAGAACACTGGCTGTTCTTGCAGAAGACCCGGGTTCAAATCCCAGCACCCACATGGCAGCTAACAACTGTTCATAACTCCAGTTCCAGGGGATCCAATAGCCTCTTCTGTCCTCCTCGGGCATTGCACGACACAGGTGCACTTACCTACATGCAGGCAATACACGCATACACATAAAATAAAAATAATAAAATGTTTTTTTAAAACAAAGAGAAAAAGAAAGCAGAATGCAAACACCCTAATTTGCAGTAAATGTTTTTCATGAAGATCAGAATACTCCAAGTCCTTATGAAGATTTAAAAAGACTCCTTTCTGGTTTTTTAAAATATTTTATTATTTTTATTTTATGTGTATGAGTGTATTGCCCACATGTATGTAAGTGCACCCCTGTCATGCAACTTCCACGGAGGTCAGAAGAGGGCGTTGGATCCCCTGGAACTGGAGTTACAGATGGTTGTTAGCTGCCGTGTTTGTGCTGAGAATTGAACTGGGATCCTCTCCAAGAGAAGTCACTATTCTTAACTGCTGAGCCATCTCTCCAGTCCCCTTGTTTTGTTTTGTTTTGTTTTGTTTTTTAAGACGTGTTCTCCCTTTATATGCCCAGCTGACCTGGTACTCACTATGTAGACCAGGCTGGGCTTGATCCTGCAGAGATCCTCCTGAGTACTGGGATTAAAGGTGTGTGTCACCATGCCCAGCTTGAGCCCAGTTTTTTTTTGTGTTTTTGCTTTTTGTTTTTAAATATTTTTTTATTTTTATTTTATATGTATGAGTGTATTGCCTGCATATATTGAGTGCACCCGTGTCATGCAATGCCGAGGAGGTTTGAAGAGGGGTTCGGATTCCCCTGGAACTGGTGTTAAGGATGGTTCATAGTGGGTGCTGGGAATCAAACCCAGGTACTCTGCAAGAGCAGTCAGTGCTCTTAACCGCTGAGCCATCTCTCCAGCCCCTTTGTTGTTTTTTAAATCTCCTTTAAACTTTCTTCTGTCCCATCCTCACTCTAAGTTGATGAACTACTTCCTGTTTTACTGGGAAAACAGAAGCATTAAAAATCTTCCATCCTCTGTTGGTTTAACGTCTGTCTCACCACTTTGTGTCTGTTGATACCTAGACTTCTGCATAAATTCCAGATTCCTTACAAAAGGCAAAGCCTGTTTGTTGAATCTGAGTTCCCACTCATGTTGCTCTTTTCTCTACAGACACTGCCAGTGATTCTCCCCCTTAGCGTGTCCATTTTACATTCTAGTTCTGTTTCTAATATAAGTTCAAGTCTTTTCAAGGTTTTATGCCTAAAAGGTTTTAGACCGCATGTGGGTGATGGGAACCAAACCCAGGTCCTCTGCAAGAGCCACCAGGGTCTTCACCACTGAGTCATCTGTCCGGCCCAGCTCCCAAATTGATATACAAGCCTAGACTTCTTGCCTGGCTGCAGGCTGGTCTGTCCAGCTGCCCACTTGATGTCTCCAGGTGAATGTTGAATTGCCTCTGAAATCACACACCCCAAACAGGTCTGGTACATTGTCCCTCTCCACAATAATCCTCCAGCCCTGCTGGCCTCTTCCCCGTCGTACAGCCTTCCAGTTGTGCAGCCGAAAGGCTCAGCATCATCTCAACTCCTTTCTGTCTTCACACCTCCTCTCCACCGAGTGGATCCTGTTGGCTTCATCTTCAGGGTGTGTCCTGCCCAGAATCCAGCCATGTCTCACTACATACCACTGCTGCCTTCTAATACACTGTCAGCTCAGCAACCACCTAGGTTTTCTCATGACTCAAGGAGTCCCTGATTCTGCCCTTGTCCCTTTCAGTCTAGGCCAGTGCACTTTGTGCTTGGTGCTCCCTGAGTGTTCTTCCACTAAGTACCTTCCGGTCTCTATGCAAACGTTACCGTCTTACATGGTCCTGCTTTTTTTTTTTTTTTGGCCTTTTTGAGACAGGGTCTCCTTGTAGCCCCAGCTGGCCTGGAACTCACAGAGATCCACCTGCCTCTGCCTCCCGAGTGCTGGGATTAAAGGCGTGCATTACCACATCCAGCAGATGACAATGTTAAAAAACTGTAGTTTTTACTTTCTGCTTTTATATAAATACTATGGTTTTATTATAGAAAACAAGGACTTTCACCATTTTCCTACTGTCATTCCTCAGCATGTATCAAACTAGTGTATCTTTATGTGTGTCATTATACTTTGTTAGCCATCCCCCTCCCCCAGATTTCTTTATGATTTATTATCAATAAATATATGATGTTTCACCTATTTTATATGCCTGTATACCAGAGGGTGGGGCACATAAAAATTTCTCAGGTGACAGGGCTGGAGAGATGGTTCAGTGGTTAAGAGCACTGATTGCTCTTGCGGAGGACCCAGGTTTTCATCACAGTACCCACATGGTGGCTAGCAACTGTCCGTAACTCCAATTCCAAGAGAGTTCAGTGCGGTCTTCTGACCTCCTCCGGCACCTGACCCTCCTGCCTCCACCTTCCATTTGCAAGGATTACAGTTGTGTACCACCTCACCTGGCTTTCATCATGCTAAACATTTTTCGTGAGTGCATGTGTATGTGTTGTGTGTGTGTTCACATCCGTGCAGGTACTTGTGTCTGCATCTGCATATACAGGCTGGAGGGTTGGGTGTCTTCCTTTGTTGGGGTAAGTAGAGAGTACCTGGAATGTAGAGCATGGTCACCAGGACAGATGCCTCCTAGTGAGGACGTTAGGAAGCTGGCCTCCATTTGAGGGACACTGTCTTTTATCTAACAACCCCCAAGCAAAACCATTAAGCCTCTAATCCTTTAATCCTAACCAGGTCCCTTGTAGATTATGTGACCTGAGGACAGGACAAAGGCCACATAGCCTTAGTAGCCCCCTCCCTCTCCCAAACCCAACCCCTGCCTCTTTGTCCGGGAAGCTTTCCTATATAAACCTCTGCTTCGCCATAATAAACGAGCTGTCTGCTGACACAGCTTCCCAGGGTGTTTTCTTCCCATCGTACTCACCGCAGCCCGAGACCTCCCTCCCCCCACCAGTCTCTCTCCATGCCCCGACCTTCTGCTATGGGGACCAGTGTGCAGGGGGGTTCGGGCCGGGGTAGGGGGGTGGCATTCCTTGATCACCCTTCACCTTATATACTGAATCAGGATCTCTTGCTGAACCCAGAACTTGCTGTTTCAGCTAGTCTGGTTAACCAGCCTGCTCCTAGGATGCCTGCTAACCAGCCTGCTCCTGGGATGTCTACTAACCAGCCTGCTCCGGGGATGTCTAACCACCCTCTGTGGGGATGTCTGCTAACCAGCCTACTCCTAGAATGTCTACTAACCATCCTGCTCCTGGGATGTCTGCTAACCAGCCTGTTCCAGGATTCTCGCTGTGTCTTCCATGTACTGGGATTACAGACAGGCTGTCTGCCCACCCCACTTTTTTTTTTTTTTTTTTTTTTTTTTTTTTTTTTTTTTTGGTCTTTTTGAGGCAGGGTCTCCCTGTAGCCCCAGCTATCCTGGAACTCACTATGTAGACCAGGCTGGCCTTGAACTCACAGAGATCTGCCTTTGTCTGCCTCCCAAGTGCTGGGATTAAAGGCATGCACTACCACGCCCAGCTATCTGCCCACCCCACTTTTATGTGGGCTCTGGGGATCTGAACTCAAGTCCTCACCCTTCTGAGGCAGACACCTTACCTGCTGAGCCCTCTCCCCCGTCCCTCATTGTATTTCAGATTGCCAGCCTGTTCCTCAATTTTATGACTCCTCCCCCAGCTTGTTCTACATAACATTTATGGGTCCACATCTTGTTTATTTTGTCTTCCCCCCAGGTAGTGAGCTTCCTGAGAACAAAGGTCCTTCTCCGTGTTCTCCACTGCTGTGTTCCCAGTGCCTGGCACGAGTAGATGCTGGCCAAACGTTGACTGGGTGATAGAGAATTATTCTCGCCTGTCAAGATGGGCGCTCTAAGAATGATCTGGTTCTTTGTCTCATTTCTCTTCCTACAGTGGCCGAGCTTTGTGTTCTGTACAGACAGAATGAGGAGGGGATGGTGGGCGAGCTCATCGCCTTCTGCACCAGCGCAGGGAAGGCTCGCCTTACCTCAGAGATCCTGAACTCTTTTGAGCATGAGGTAAGAGCAAAATGTAAGCAAGCTAATGTTGTTCTCTGGGGGAGGTGCTGAGAAGGCTTTGGAGTCCGACTAGACCCCAGCCCTGGTCTGAGCTCAGGCAGACTTCCACTCCCTTTCTCTCCTCTTAATTTGTTTTTACATTTATGCATTTGTTTACTTATTCTGTTTGTGTGCTCCCATGCCCATGCGTGTGGAAATCAGAGGACAACTTTCTAGAATTGGTTCTCTCCTCCTACCATGTGGGTTCTGGGGCTGGAACTCAGATCATCAGGCTTGGCAGCAAGCACCTTCACTCACTGAGCCATATTGCTGGCCCCTACTTATTATTTCTGAGCCTCAGTGTTTTTCTTCTGTCAAGGGTTCTAATAACTCATTTTTTTTTTAAATATTTTATTTGTTATTTTTATTTTTTGTGTGTGAATGTATTGCCTGCATGTATGTGAGTGCACCCATGTCGTGCAATGCCACGGAGGTCAGAAGAAAGCTTCGGATTCCCCTGGAACTGGAGTTAAGGACGGTTCATAGCCGCCATGTGGGTGCTGGGAATCGAACCCGGGTCCTCTGCAAGAGCAGCCAGTGCTCTTAACCGCTGGGCCATTAAATGATTATTGTAAGAATTAAATGTGAATACGTTCAAAGCACCTAAAACTGCCTGGTAGGTGGAGGCCTTCACAGAGAATGGTCACCAGAGTGACTGTGTTGTAGGCGAGCAGTGACTTGAGAAGCTTTTGTTTTCACACTTTGTTTGTGGGGTTGAGGGGAGGGGAGATAGAGTCTTAGGAGCCAAGGCTGGCCTGCCTCTCCTCATCCTCTTGCCTCCATCCCAGGTGCTGAGGTGACAGGCATGTGCTGCCATGCTGCGCCTGTTATGCTGCTTTTTAACACTTGCTTTATGGAGTTTTTTATCTTTGTATGTCTGTGTCTGTGTGTTTATCTGTATGTCTGTGTCTATGTGTTTGTGTGTTCATTACTGGGATTGAACCCATCCCTAGTCCCTCTAATTACATTTTGAATGCCTTTTATTATTTCAAAACTATGGAAAATACTCTGTTATCAGACTATGAATAATAGATTCATCATCTTCTATTTCTCAGGTTCTGAACAAAAAATTATCCAAAGCCTGGCACAGCACCTCCAAGGACAGTGAGCACGCGGGAGCCAGAGACATTGTCTCCATACAGGAGCTGTATCCTTTCCTGAGGATGGTCTTTGCACCGAGTCACATAGATATTTTATAATTTGTCAGTAGGTGCATAGATAATTTTAAAAAAATACTTTGCCAGGGCCAGCCGTGGTGGCCCATGCCTTTAATCCCAGCACTTGGGAGGCAGAGGCAGGCGGATCTCTGTGAGTTCAAGGCCAGCCTGGTCTACATAGTGAGTTCCAGGACAGCTGGGGCTATAGGGAGACCCTATCTCAAAAAGACCAAAAAAAAAAAAAACCACCTAACATTGAGTTTTCTCACTTAAACGCCCCTTCAGTAAAGTTCCCCATTGCTGTGAATGTCCCTTATTGTTTTCCCTAACCAGCGTTCTTAGGATTGAAGTGGAGGAGGAAGAGGAGTCCCTTTTGAACTCTTACACCACACCCTCTAAGGTGAACTTACAGTGTTTGGAAAGATTGTCAGGCCCTGAGCAGTGTATTTAGCAGAAGTAATTATTCCAGGACTGGGTATGTAGCTCAGTGGTGGAGCACTTGCTGAGCATGTGCAGGGCCCTGGGATCAATTCCTGGTAGTATCAAAAAAGACAAAGAAAAGTAGTGATTACCCTTGCTATTAAATACATTTGCAGTATGAGCCTTACTTACAGGGGACACACTGCCAGAGGGCAGATGGTTTATCTGCACCTAACTAGAAAGCAAGGACACCAAAACCAGGTGCTGTCAAACTGTGGGCACAGCCCGATGCTCGTGCCATTGCTGGAAATGAGGTTTTCCTTAGAATTCACCCCTTGATGCTTTCCCCAAATGGTCTGTTCGGTGTCCGCATCCCAGCGAAGAACAGCCCATTCCTCCGTTTGCTCAGGCCAAGAGCCTGGGAAGCCTCCTCAACTCCTTCTTCCCTCACACCCATGTCCAACGTCATCCTCCTCATTGGCCCACTGCCCAGGATCTGGCCACCTCAGGTCCTCTTCGTCCAAATGACTGAAAGTGTTCCTGATTCCTGCCTTGGCCACCTCTAATTGAGGTGGCCGTGGTGCTGCTTAAAACGAATGTCCACAGGACAGCTTGCTGTGGCTTCCATCTTCCCTAATGTCACAGTCAGAACCAGTGTGTGAGGGGCCGTCCAGGCTGCCCCTAGCTCTGTCCTCTCCCACTCTGCTCTTACCATACCGGTTTCTCTCCTGGTCTTCACACACTCCAAATGTACCCACTACCTGGGGGACTAACCTGTCTTCAGTAGCAACCTCAACACCTCTTCCTCTCCTGTGCCTGTTCTGTTTCTTCTTGCACCGTTGAGTTATTACCGCAGACCTGTATCTTCATTTTGGTCCATCCCCTCCAAATTAGAATGGACACTCTTGGCCCAGCACGGTAGTGCACACCTTTAATTTTAGCGCTTGGGAGGCAGAGACAGGCAGATCTCAGTGAGTTCAAGGCCAGCCTGGTCTACATACTGAGTTCCAGGCCAGCTGGGGGCTACAGGGAGACCCTGTCTCCAAAAGACCGAAAAAACATAGACATTCTTAGAGGGTGGACACTGCATCTTTCCTTGGTGCCTGGCCCCTGATAGCTCTGGAACTATTGATTACTAGAACAATCCTTCTGGAAAATACTTGCAGAAAATATATCAAAATGATAAGATCGTTTTTATCCTTTGTCTTAATCATTATTCCTGAGGAGATCTGGGGGTGGAGCCTAGAGGGTGTTTAGCACATACAAGGCCCTGGATTCCATTCCCAGCAGTCTCCCCCCCCAAAAAAATCTCTAAGAAGATGATCCAAATTATGGAAAAATTGTGTTCAGTAGGCAGGAAGATGTATGTCATAATGTATATTCACTAGAAATTAAAAGCAACCCATAGAGAAGTGACTATAAATCATTCATCGATTCAAATAACATGGCTGCTAAAAAGGACAGAGACTTAACAGCACAGGGCAATGCTCATGAGAGAACGGAAAAATCATATCTAAGTGTACATGCTAAGGTTTATTTTTAAACTAAGGTAATTATATATTTAAGCTGGAAAATACTAAGATACTATTAAGGGAGCTGGAGAGATGGCTCAGTGGTTAAGAGCCTTGGCTGCTCTTACAGAGGACCTGAGTTCAGTTCCCAGCCCCCACGTAGCTCACAACCTTTTGGACTCCAGTTCCAGGGAATCTGATGCCTTCTTCTGACCTCCTGAGTACCCAGGCATGGACATGGTACACATACATACATATAGGCGAAACACTCCAACACATAAAATAAGTAAATTTAAAACTTTTTTGTTGTTTTGGGGGTTTTACTTATTTTTTGGAGACAGGATCTGCCTGTAGCCCCAGCTGGCCTGGATCTCACTGTGTAGACCAGGCTGGCCTGGAACTCACTATGTGGACCAGGCTGGCCTGGAACTCACTATGTGGACCAGGCCAGGCTCTTATACTTGAGGTTCTATCTAAAAAGAAAAGAAACCTGCAAATATTTAAAATCTTAATTTCCAGCCGGGCGTGATGGCATGTGCCTTTAATCCCAGCACTCGGGAGGCAGAGGCAGGCGGATCTCTGTGAGTTCAAGGCCAGCCTGGTCTACATAGTGAGTTCCAGGACAGCTGGGGCTACAGGGAGACCCTGTCTCAAAAAGACCAAAAAAAAAAATCTAGTTTCCAATGCAGGTACTTTTTGTTTTTTGAGACAAGGTCTCACCATGTAGCCCAGACTGGCCTGAACTTGAGGTAACCATTCTACCTCAGCCTCTAAACTAGGATTTCGGGTGTAAGCCATTATGCCCCATTTAATGATGATGGGTTTCAATCCCTTGCACAGGCTCTAGTTGATAGCTTGGTGGCATTTACTTAAACATTCAGCCAGGGGGAGCCCTCGAATCAGAAAAGTTTCTGTAGATTAGGTGACTTCTGGCTGGGCTGGACAAATATTTTGTCTTTGCTGTTGTGTGTTCAGTTATCCTAGACGTTGGAGTGCTGGCTCCTCTGACTGGGTTTCATCTGTCTTCTGGGATTACTATTGGATTCTCAGGAATAAGAAGGGAAAAAAAAAACACTAGAAAACCAGAAGTGACCCATCAGTGAGGTGTTTGCTAACTGTTTTCCAAGCATGAACTCCACCCCTATCTGCCTGGAGTGCCTCCAGGCTTTAATTTGGAAAATGTGTGGTAAACTCCGCCAAAAGAAGCGTAATGTGGTCCCAGCTCTGGGGAAAAACGTGTACACAGATTATAACTATGCACTGCAAAACTCAAACCTCTAATAAAAGCAGGTAGAGAAAGCAAGCGTATGAAAGGTTTAATGGACAGATTGTTTGCCCAGCAAACTTTTTTACAAAGTGTTCTCTGAATTCTTTCCACGATTGCCTTCAGAATGCAGATCATGTCCTGGTGGATGTTGGGTTGTAGTTGTTGAAGGGTTTTGTGGGATTATTGGAAGAGGGCTTCTTGAGAAAAGCCCTCTCCCTCCCCACCCCACCTTCTGCCTTTACTAGGCACCGTCGCCCTTTTCTGAGGATCTGTAACAACTCTACACTCAGCAACTTGAGGCCAGGTGACTGGGATCTTGTTTTCCATTTTGTTTCTAGGGCCCTCAGAAGCGAGCTATCAGCACCCCAGAAACCCCCCTAACAAAAAGGAGTGTGTCCACTCGCAGCCCACATCAGATTCTCTCACCATCCAGTTTCTCTCCAGGGTATGTACCCTAATCGATTCAAATGCCAACCGCAGTGCTCAGTTCTGGCTCTGCTGTGGAGTGAGGCAGCCGCAGGCTAACAACTTACTAACTGTGGGCTGGGCCATCCGAGGTGAACTGGCTGCAAGGCCTGTGCTCTGTGCCTCCCTAGCCTCCCTGCTTTGTGGAAAATTACTGTTTCTTAGAGTAATTAAGGAAACTCGCTTTTCCACCCACTTTTCTAGACTCATTTCTTAGATGAGGAACTGGTATCCTCTATTGAAAACAGCCCTTCTATTCAGAAGCCCTGGCATCCCAATCCAGGCAAATAGGCTGTCACCTGTGTCTACCAGTTTGGGTTTGGTTGGGTTTCTTTCTTTTTGTAATCTGAAGTATTTATTTTTTAAAAAAAGGAAAAGCACGCACCTTTGTTCACCACATTGCATAACCTGTTTGTTGTTCCGCACTCAGGTTACAGCCAGTTTCTGAGAGTTTTCTTGTAGCTGACTCTACAGTGACTTAATTGATAGTTCATCATGACTGCCACCAGGGCATATTAATCCACAGAGATCCTGTGTGACTTTCTGAAATCCATAAATGATAGGGTCCCCATGAGAGACTCCCACAGTGAGCACTTTGCTGAGACGTGTTTACAGGGCTATCCTGTCAGGACAGGGCTCAGGAGCGGCGGTTAACCATTTAGGGAAACACCTCTGCTTTGGATCCCTTCTAGACCAACCAGAATTTATGTTTCTCGGTTCTGAGATTCGAGAGGCAGTGACCCGATCTGCAGCCGTTCACAGTCATTAGATCCTGAAGGACAGTTTGGTTTTATTGTGGTCCAAATGCTGCTTGAGAGAGATCTCAAGCTAGTGTCAGAAGTGAGCTTCGAGACTCAAAGAGCAAATCTGAAACCTAGTGATGGCTTCTCATGAAGTTGCAGGGTTCTCCGAGGTGAGTTTCCTGAGCTGGCTCAGCAGTTAAGAGCACTGACAGCTCTTGCAGAGGACTTGGGCTCTGTTCCTAGAATCCATATGGCGGCTAACAACCGTCCATAACTCCAGTGCCAGGGGATCCGATGCTCTCTTCTGACATTGCACAACATGGGTGCACTTAAGTACATGCAAGCAAAACATTTAAACACATAAAATAAAACAATAAAAAATATTATAAAATCTGTAGCTGTGTTTGCAACCATCCTGTGAGCCTCTGAGGGCACTAAAGTGACCTGTAAGGGCTGTCCCATGGGAGTGTTGCAGGGTAGAGCTCGGGAAGCTGGCCATATGATGCCCTGCCTGGTCCTTTTTTTTATTTTTTAATGTGTACTAATAAAGCTGACATCAGAAACTGGTTTTGTAATCTATGAAAGTCACTGGTAAATTATTTCAGTAGCTGCAGCTCTGGAGATAAAGTAATTAGTTGAGCTCATCTTCTGTAGCTTGTCTGGAAAGAAGGGCACGAAGACACCAATTGCAGCCCAACCCCCTGTGAAACTCGTTCCTGCAGAGTCCCAGGGCGTTAGGTGGAGTGCCAGGGTGCAGCATGTCTAGAGGCCTCTCTCTAGCCAGAATGCCACATCTGAGTGTTCTTGGAAGTGTGTTTACCAGTCAGGAACGCTCATCCGCGCAGACCTGGAACGTGGGAATGCCTGCTCCCTGGCTAACTGTTCATTCCCTACATCTCCACCTCCACAGAGTCTTGAGAAAGCTAGATTAATTTGCTGAACTTTGTTTTTTTTTACTTTGAACTATGTTGTGAGGGTTTTTTTGTGTGTTTGTTTTTTTTCTCTAGTTTTTTGAGACAGAGCCTTATTTATTAGACCAGACTGGCCTCAAACTCGCTATGTAGCTGAGGATGGCCTTGAACTTCTGATCCTGCCTTCCCTTCTGAGTGCATGTACTACCATGCCTGGTTAAAACCAAGTTATGAGTTTTTATGTATGCCCAGCAGCCTTTGACCTAGCCACTGTTCCCAAATCAAAGGTAGCCTTAATAATTGCTAAATGACTCATAAGAGAAAGGAAAATACTTGAAAGTTGCTTTTCAGTTAATTCAGAGTTTGGTTATATTTTGCTGTATTTAGGTTTTTTATTTTTATTTTTTTATTTTATGTGTGTGTATTGCCTGCATGTATGTAAGTGCACTCATGTCCTGCAATGCCTGAGGAGGACAGAAGAGGCTGTCGGAGCCCCTGGAACTGGAGTTACAGACAGTTGTTAGCTGCCATGTGGGTGCTGGGATTAAAACCTGGGTCTTCTACAAGAACAGCCAGTGTTCCTAACTGCTGAGCCATCTCTCTAGCCCCTGTATTTAGTTTTCATGCTAGAAGAACAACAACCTTTCTAGAATATGTTTTTGTTGCCAGACGTGGTGGCTTATGCCTTTAATCCCAGCACTCAGGAGGCAGAAGCAGGCAGATCTCTGAGTTCAAGGCCAGCCTGGTCTACATAGCAAGTTCCAGGCCTGCTGGTGCTATAGGGAGACCCTGTATCAAAAAGACCAAAAAAAGAAACAATGTTTTTTTGTCTTCAAACTTCCCTAAACACATCTGGTATTCTTCCTGGTCTGGTGTTCCCTGGTGCCTCATTCCTGGAATTCCTGAAAGGTTGGAGTATGTCCACCACCACTACACTGATTCCATCTGTAAAGCCAGTATGATTTCTCTCCAGCCGTTTCCAAAGCGTGACCTTACTTTATTCCTTTCTCACTTTCACTTCAGCTCTGAACACAGTAACGTTAATGTTTTACTTCCAATCAGTGCTACCCCCTCCCAGAAGTACAGCTCCAGAAATAATCGAGGAGAAGTGGTGACCACCTTTGGCTCGGCACTGGGCGTGGCTTGGTCTGGGAGAGGAGGAGCTGGGAACATCAGCCTCAAGGTCCTAGAGCCACTAACAGGCAGCTACAAATCAATGTTTCAGAAGCTCCCAGACATCCGAGAAGGTGACTGCTTTTCTCTCTGAAATTCTGGTGGATGTAAAACCCCATGGAAGGCTTTAGAAAAGTAGGAGAGCCTGGGCTTGGCTGGCGGAACACGTTACCCAGTTGCCTTTGAACACAGAAGTTGGTTGTCCTCCTGGATGCTCATTTGGTGGAGGGGAGGGACTTTGTCCCAAGTTACATCACTTTGATAAAGAAAAAGCATTACAGGGCTGGAGAGATGGCTCAGCGGTTAAGAACACTGGCTGTTCTTGCAGAAGACCTGGTTTTGAATCCCAGCACCCACATGGCAGCTAACAACTGTGTAACTCCAGTTCCAGGGGATCCAACAGCCTCTTCTGTCCTCAGGCATTGCACGACATGAGTGTGCTTACCTACATGCAGGCAGTACGTGCATAACACCTAAAATAAAAATAAAATGTTTTTTTTTAAAAAGCGTGACATAACCTTACTGTAATGAAAATGTGAGTTCATCTCAGCACTAAGGACATTCACAGATGCCTCCTTGGAAACCCGAGCCAGGTTATCCCAGCCTTCCCTGAAACTTCAGTGACAGGCCGGGGCTGGGGGAGTTCACACTGATGCTTTGGGACTCTGCCAGGTGAGCTGTGGTCCAGTGGGAGACCAGAGTAGTGGTCATATACCAGAAAATGGACTAGACCTGAGGTTTAAAGTGGCCCGATGTCAGGCCTCCTTGCTCCTGTAGAGTGATTGTAGTGTCTAGCTCTGCAGTGTCTTAAACCAGCACTCTTTGCCTTTGGCTTACAGTTCTGACCTGTAAGATAGAAGAGCTCGGCCGCGAACTCAAGGAGCATTACAAGATTGAGGCCTTTACTCCTCTTGGAGTCCCAGCACAGGTAAGAGTTGTTAAAGAGTTCTCACGGAGGAGTGCTCCGCTCATCAGAGTTTTGTTTTTTTTTTTGTTTGTTTGTAGATCAGGCTATGTAGATCAGGCTGTCCTTGAACTCACAGAGATCTGCCACCACACCCTGGCTGGCTCGGAGTTCTTAACCACTTAGAGGAGGGTCTTACAAAGATTGTAAGCAAAGATCAAAGCCTTGTTTTCCTCCCTGGGTTAGAGCTCGCCCCTGGAGAGTTCCCACAGGTGGAATTCTGGCCTTGTGGCCTTAACAGCAACCCCTCTCATTGCCTGTCACAGAGCAGCAGCTGCTGTCGTTTCTTTCTACCGTGCCTCCATTCTGGTGTGGTAGAATGGAGCACTTTACAATCTAAGAGGTGTTCCCGCAGAATTCTTCACTGTGCCTCTGTCCTGTGTTTGCCTCCAGGAACAGCAACCCATTAGAAAGGTGGTACATAAAACTCCTGTAGAAAGTTTTGGAGAAATTGGGAGGAAGTTTGGGGGCATAATCACGTGGGAAAGGTTAGACTTCCTCTGTTTGCTCCCAAAGATGGAAACAGGACAGAGGAAGTCATGGGAAGAGAGATTTCTGTTCAGTCTATGAAGAAGTTCCTGTTAGAGACAGCATGATGCCTTGTGTGGTGTCCAGGCACTGAGGCCAGCCTGGAGGACAGAAGCATGAGCTACTAAGGGGCAGTATGGAATGTGGCTAAGGACTTGGCTCTGGAGCCAAACTTCTGGTTTAAATCAGGCCAAGGCTTCACCTGTTGTTGCACCATAACTGCATTATCAAATGGCTCTGCTGTTCCTTGCCAGTTCAGTAGTGTCATTCTGAGGATCAAATGAGACCGCTTAGAGCAGTGCCTGGCAGGCTCAGCAAGTGTGACCTGTTAGTAAGCTGTGGTTTCCCAGAGGTGCTGTAGAGTTGGGGGCCAGGATTCCCCTTGGCTGGAAATGTTTGCACTGAGGCAGCTTCTCGGGAGCCCACGTGGTGGGTAAGTGGTGGACCAGACACCCTGGGAGAGTTCTACTTCCAACATCCGTGGAGACGCTGTGGTCACCACCAAAAGGCCACGTTCTCATTTGGGGTTCCCTGGGCTGGCCACCCTGTGGGCTTATGATAATGGGCTTCTGTCCCAAAGACCCTGGTTCTGACATCACACCTTTCCTTCGGTAGGAGCCCATCACCCTCCTGGGCCAGGTTGGCTGTGACAGCAACGGGAAGCTGAATAGCAAGTCAGTGATTCTGGAGGGAGACCGGGAGCATTCCCTGGGCACGCAGATTCCTGTGGATCTGTCTGAGCTTGAGGAATACTCTCTCTTTCCTGGACAGGTGAGACGGGGGGCGCCTTCCCTGAGATGCAGAGGAGAGACATGCGTGGGCAGCTGCTTCTCTGTTTCCATCTCTGCCATGAGATCAGGCAATAAAGGCCCACCATTTTTCTGTGTATGCTCTGACTCTGGCCCTGGGCCCAACTGCCCAGGTTCAGATCCCAGCTCCAACTCATGAGGGATGTGGCTGTGGGCAAAGTACTTTACCTTCTCAGCCACAGTATCCTCATCCACAAGGTGAAATAATAATTCTTACCTCATGGGATTTCTGTGAGCATTAGGTCATTTGTGTAGAGCTTAATTGTCACTAACAGACCCTTAATTTGTTTTTGGAAAAATGCCCTAAGTTTATTGTTACAAAATACTTTGAACTGCATGGAAATAATGTATCCCAGACCTCGCCTTTATCTCCCCTGTTGTATTTCTTGTATTTCAGGTTGTAATTATGGAAGGATTCAACACCACTGGTAGAAAACTTACTGCTACCAAACTCTACGAGGTACAGTGGTAGACCCCCTTCTCCCCTCCATGTGTGTTCCAGGCTCAGTATGTACAGCTTCACGTTCAAGAAACTGGTCCTTTTCAGACATCTGTTGGTTGGTTGATCTTTTCTATCCCTAAGTAGAAATCTACCTCTAGGCTTTAAGTTAGAAAACTGTTTCTACGGAGGGCCAAGCATTAAGTATTTTAGGCTGTACAGGCCAGAGGTCTCTGTCAGTGACTCCACTGAGCCATTATATTGCCAAAGCAACTTGTAAACAAATGAGTCCCAATTAAACTTTATTTATAAAAAGCCAAATTTGGCCTCAGGCTGTGGCTTACCTATCTCTGTCTTTGTCAAGAGTCCTCCAGGGATCAGGATCCCCCTCTCACCCTTGCCTAGAAGCATCCCAATGACTTAGGCACCTACCTGCTTTGCCAGGTGTTGCCAGGTGTTTTGTGAAAGTCTGTCAGTGACTTCCCGCTGCCTGGGCTGCTTTGTCACTCTGAGCTGTTTAGAAAAATGACAGATCCTGTGGACTCTGGGCCATGGGCTCCCAAGAGCAAGATGGAGACACATCTTTATCCCCTGCCCCTCCTCTCAGTCCCCAGTCCCTGTACCCCCACCCCCACTGCATACTTGCAGAAACTCAAGCGTCCACCCCTTCCCAAAGCATGGCTGGAGCAAGACCTCAGCCGAGGTTTCTTCTGTTTTAAGGGTGTGCCGCTTCCGTTTTATCAGCCCACTGAAGAGGATGGAGGTGAGTTTGGGTCCAGAAATGTTCTTGGCAACTGTGGGGATAGTGGGAGACAAAGTCCCAGGCCCAAGGAAACTCCAAACTGGAGTGGCACAGGAGGCAGTAAGGGGACGCCCAGGCCCTTGTCCAGGAGCTCCTGGGTCTGAGCCTCCTGAGCACCATCAATGTTGTCACTTGGGCTCTGATGACACAAAGGTGTCCTTTCAAGATTACTGTTTGCCAAGCATGGTAGTGTTTGTCTATAATCCCAGTACTCAAAAGGCTGAGGCAGGAGGATCCCAAGTTGGAGACCAGCCTGGGCTGTTAGTGATACAGTCTCAACAAAAGAAAAACAAAACCCAAAAAAGACTACCGTTTAACAGGCATTTTAAAGTTACTGTCGTAGTTTGTTCTCCATTGCTGTGACAAAATACTCTGACCAGTAACAACTTGGGGAAGAAAGGGTTTATTTTATATTACATCTCCTGGGTCACAGTTCATCAGGGAGCCCAAGGTAGGAACTCAGGGCAGGAACCTGGAGGCAGGAACTGGAACACAGGCCATGGAGGAATGCTGCTTACTGGCTTGCTCCCCTGGCCCCTGCTCAGCCTGCTTTCTTACGCAACATAGGCCCACCTGCCCAGGGGTGGTACCACCCACAGTGGGCTGGGCCCTCCCACATCACTCCTCAGGAAGATGCCCTTCAGACATGGCCACAGGCCAGTCCAATAGAGGCAATTCCCCGATTGAGGCTCCTTCAACCCAGGTGTGTCAAGTTGACACTGAAGCATCCAGCACAGTTACTTTGAAAAGGAAAATGGTGTGTGATTTAAAAAGAATGTAGTAGCATCCTGGGTGGGACCCCAGAAAAGAAGAAAACACTGGTGGAAAAACCTCATGACGTGAATAAAGCCAGGAGTTTAGTTAGCAGTAATACACCAGCAGTAATTCCAAGGAGTGTGCTGTTAATGTAAGATTGTGTTAGAGGGATCTGTAAAAGATACACAGGAACCCTGTGCTGTCTTTGCAGTTTTGTACACTTCTGAAGTTCTCCACAATAAAAACATAGTTTTTAAAAAGTATTTTTAAAAAGCCTAAGATTATTTGGAAGTAATTGAGATAGGAAAAAAAAAATAAATGAAAGTTGGGAAACTTTGTTTCAATTCCTAAGCTGGGCTGGGGAGTGTTGCTCAGTGGTTTAGCACTTGCATAGCTGTATGAGACTCCCAAGTTCAGTTTTCTAGTGCCACAAAAGGAAACAAAGGTGGAGGGGTTATTTCTAAGTGTTTCTGTAAGCAAAACAGCAAACATTGCTAAAGATTTTCGATAAATGCCAACACTGGCATACTGCCAAGTGCCCCATAAACGTCGATAATGTGTGAAGTCATCCTTGGAGATGACCTGGAATCAGGAAGAAATTAGGAGTTCATGACATTATGCACTGCCTCAGAAAATATTTGAGTATGGAGCAAAGGTAGCATGGTGGTATTAGATCCACTACAGGCAATGAAAAGAAAGGAACATGGCTGAAGTGCCAGGAGCAGGAGCTGAGGGCCAGGGAAGCTGTAGAGGCAGTCTCAGAGGTTGCTAACAGACTTTGAAAAGCAAGGAATTAGCTGGGAGTGGTGGCACACGCCTTTGATCCCAGCACTCGGGAGGCAGAGACAGGCCTTGATCTCTGTGAGTTCAAGGCCAGCCTGGTCTACATAGTGAGTTCCAGGACAGCTGGGGCTACAGGGAGACCCTGTCTCAAAAAGACCAAAAACAAAAAGCAAGGAATTAAGCCAGGGAATCATGGAGCTCCAAAGTCAGATATGGACTTTGCCCTGCTGATGCTGACTAGGCTGGAACTTCCACTGTAGGCACCTCAGAACCAGGCTGAACTTTGTCCCCTGCCCCACCACCATAGGAGACCCTTCCTTTCCCTTTGAAGACTCTAGCTATAACATTGCTGCTGTGGTAGACTGAGTACCACCACCACCACCCTGTCCAGAGAACCTGTGAGTGTGAATGTGTTACCTTATATGGTCAGAGGGAATTTGTTTGTATGGCTGAGTGAAAGATCTGGAGATGAAGGATTTATCCTGGATTATCTACGTGGCCCAAATGTATCACTTTTGGGCCTTTCTTTTTGGCCATGTAGACCAGGCTGGCCTTGAACTCAAAGAGATCTGCCTGCCTCTGCCTCTGCCCTCCCCAACCCCCCAGTGTTAGGATTAAAGGCAAGTGACACCACACCCTGCTCACTTTGGTTCTTATAAAAGTGGGTGGCAGGAGGATCAGCATTAGAGAACAGAAACTTTGGGCTGTTGGCTTTGGTGGTAGAGGATGGGGCTTTGAACCAAGGAGCACATCCATCTCTAGAAACCAGGAAGCAAGGGAGTGAGCCCCCTGAACCACTGCAGCCTGTGGACACCTTGACTTTTGGACTTCTAGTCTCCAGCTCCGAAAGATACCAAACTGCTTTTCAGCTGCCAGGTTTGAAGTCATTTCTGTACCACAGCAGAAAGTAATACAGCTGTGTGTCAGGATGCGGAGGACCTTCGGGTTTTATTGTGTAAGCTACAGAAACTGGCTCAGACTGACTTAAGAAAAGGAGCTTAGGGAAATCCAGGAAGCTCTCAGACTGGACAGGGGCTAGAAACCAAGCTTGGGACCAAGACATGCCTTGCAGATCCAGATATCAGGAAGCCCCCAACTGGGTTATCCAGTATCCTGAGCTCCAGGCCTTCCACCCCAGCTGCTTCTGGGCCTCAGTTCTCTACATTCTCTTACCACATTGGACCCCCAGCTTACCCTAGCTGAGCATGCCAAAGTCCCAGTGCTCCCCGTACCCTACCTGCCCTGCTCCAGAACCATCAAAGCCTGAGCACATCTCACTTCGGTAACTCCTTCCCTGACTGCTCTACTTGCATTGCCCAGTGCACACTGGGAAAGTGCCCACTGTGTCTGGGGGTACTGAGGCCTCTGCCTGGTGGAGTAGTCTTGGAGGACAGGGATGAGGACTTACTTACCTTGGGTCCAAGAGGTGCATGCATGAGGAGGCTCAGTGCAGAGGGTGCTATGGCACCCGCTCCCTTCTTCCAGTCCCTTCCATTCAAGGCCTGTGATGCTTTCTGTCTTAGATTTTGAGCAAACCATGGTCTTAGTGGCCTGTGGACCATACACCACATCTGACAGCATCACATACAACCCCCTGCTTGACCTGATCAGCATCATCACCCATGACCGGCCGGATGTCTGCATCCTGGTAGGTCCCCTGGGACAGCAATGCACAGGGAAACAGCAGCAAGGAAAGCAACATGGTCCTAGGAACGGGATCTAACACCACTCTAAGGTTTTAAGCAATGTCGATCTGTCCTTTTAAAAATAGGGAAATCTTTTAGTCATTTTTTTGCTTTTGTTTTTTGTTTTTGTCTTTTTGAGACAGGGTCTCCTTGAAGCCCCAGCTGTCCTGGAACTCACTATGTAGACCAGGCTGGCTTCGAACTCACAAAGATCTGCCTGCCTCTGCCTCCCAAGTGCTGGGATTAAAGGCGTGCACCACTATGCCCGACGTAGTCTTTTTTTTTTTCTTTTTAATCTATTTTATTTTGGGGTTTTGGTGATTGGTTTGGTTTGGTTTAGTCTTTTTTTTTTTAATATTTTATTTATTATTTTTATTTTATGTGTGTGGCAGTGCCCATGGAGGACAGAAGAGGCCATCAGATCCCCTGGAACTGGAGTTACGGACGATTGTTAGCTGCCATGTGGGTGCTGGGATTCAAACGTGGGTCTTCTGCAAGAACAACCAGTGCTCTTAACTGCTAAGCCATCTCTCCAGCCCCTTGGTTTAGTCTTTTTGAGACAGAGTCTCTCTGTATCCCCAGCTGGCCTGAAAATTGCTATGTACACCAGGCTAGCTTTGATCTCAGAGTCTCACTGTATAACCCCAGCTGGCCTGGAACTCACTATGTAGCTCAGGCTAGCTTCAAAACTCACAGAGATCTGCCTGCTTCTGCTTCTTCAATTCTGGGATTAAAGACATTTGCAACCACTTTTGGCTATTAGGTTTATCTTATGTGTATGTGTGAGTGCCTACATGTACATAGGTGCACTGCGTCCATGCCTGGTGCCCAGAGGCCAGAGGAGGGCATGTGATCCTCTAGAGCTGGAGTTTCAGGCTGTAGTAAGTCACCATGTGGGTGCTGGGAACTGAACCCAGGTCCTCTGCAAGATCAGCCAGTGCTCTTAACCGCTGAGCCATCTCTCCAGTACCTAGGATTTTAACTACTAATCTGCCTTCATCACCTTTGCTAAGTCCAGATGCACAACATTTTTGCCAGCCTTCACTGATCTTACAGAATTCTTGTCTTTGTCTCATCACTCAAACCCCTAAACTAATCTCTGCGTGTTTAAAAGTACTGCTGTTAGCAGGATGATCTGTTGCTCTTGCTAGATGTAGAAAGCTAGAAGAAAAAAAAAAAACCAGTGTTGTGGGGCAACGGTGTGGGTTATGGAACCTGGGACTCCCCCTCAGGGCTCAGGGCTCAGGGGCTACTGCTTGTGAAATTGGCCAGGAGACCCCAACCCCATCTGCTAATTCCCCTGGCTCTCTCAACAGCCTTGCAGGGACAGATGGCCCCTGAGCAGGGAACTGGTAAAGAGGTTATCTAAAGGCCTTAGGGACATGGAAGATTCTGATTTGTTCTTTGGGGGGGGGGTCTTTGTTTCTCCCCCTCTGCTTGTTTGCAGTTTGGACCTTTCCTGGATGTTAAACATGAGGAGGTGGAGGTAAGTGCCTGGGGGAAGGCGGGGAGAGGACTAGACACCTGTCTTCCACCCACACTCCTTAAACCTGAAAACATTGTCCACTAGCCATTTTTAACATATACTTTTAATTTGAGGGCTTTGTGAACACAAGGCTGTCTGGAAGCTGGGGAGGGAAATGGAAATGTATCTGTTCCATTGTTTGCACCACTTGGGGCAGTCATACACGAGCAGTCATACAAATGAGTATGCCTGGATCATCTAGGCTCTAACAGCCACTTACGTGGTCATAGCTCTGAGCTGGTAACTCATGTCTGGAGGTTCTTTAATACAGAAAACACAGATGGTCTGCAGCTGGATTAATGGCTCAGTGGTTAAGAGTGTACACTGCTCTTCTAGAGGACCCAGTTCCCATCACCCACATCCAGTGGCTCAAGCCACCTGTAACTCCAAACCCTGAGGGTCATCCAACAAGCCTTAGCAAGTGAATGGGCACCAGGGTCTGCTCTAAGTCTGTCTGCTTTCCTTTCTTACAGAACTGTCGACTGACAAGTTCATTCGAGGATGTTTTCAAGCAGTGCCTGAGAACAGTTATCGAAGGGACAAGAAGGTCAGAGTTCCAGATGCTGGGCAGGGAGGGTCTAGAGTTGCTAGGGTATTCCAGATGCTGGGAAGAGCCTGAAGCTGCGAGGGTCTTCCAGATCATCTCAGTAGGAAACTGAAACTGTTTTAAAGTCCTGGCTCTTCCTGTCCTTTTCGTCCTTTTGAACTCAGATCAGATTGGACCCTTGAACTGCAAGTGCTTAGACTGGGTGAAAAGGCATCTTGGTAACACAGAGATAAGCAGTCTTGAAAGGACACTGGAGATCACTCCCTTTTTTCTTCCTCTTTCCTTCCATTTCTCACTTCCCTTTGTATAAACTAATATTCCGTGAAAATATTCCCAGACTGGTTTAAGGAAGCTTTTGATGACTGGCAACAAAATCCCAAGAGGCCCCAAGCCTCTCCTTGTGTGAGGGAATGTTTTGGGGTTAGCCCAAGTTCCTTCCCTGAGTCAATGCTTCCCTATGGAAGGTAGGCTAGAGTAATGGGTGGGAGAAACTCCAGTGAGGGTGGGATCTTGAATCCTTGCCACAGCCTGGAGGACAGGACTGAAAGGCCATGGAAATGATGTAACTGCTGTGTGGTCCTGGTGTGTGAGGGCCTCACGCTTCCAGGAAGATTGTGAAGCTAGAAGCAGAATCATTAGGAAGCGACAGCTCAGTTCCGGTCCCTTCCCTCCAGGGCCAGCTCTGAAAGCAGATGGAGTAGTGGGAGATCTCCTGGGGTTTGCTTACTGAGGCTGAGCTCATAATAAAGACATTCCTCAGGCTGAACTTAAAAACAAACCTGTAACAAAGGCGGTTTTTGAAACAAGGTGTATAATCTTCCACCTTCTGGCGTGAGAACAGATCCCAGAGTTGATTAGTTGTAATACAACCTTCTTATGCAGCAGCCTGGGCCGGTGTGGTAGGCGTCAGGCCCGGGCAAAGAGCACCCCAACTCACCCTGGGGCTGGGAAACTTGGGTGCCATTGGCAGCTGTTGCTTCCATTCCCTCCCCCTCTCCCTCAAGTGGAGAGCCACGTACACCTTCTCTCTACTCCAGATCTATTGAGGACCCAGTTGAGTTCATGAGACATGGGAAGTGCTGAGAATTCCTCAGGAGATAGACACCCCCCTTTGCCCCCAGAGCAGGTGCAGGGACTGGAGCAGGAGCCGGTGTTGGCCGGTGCTTCCAACCTGAGGTTGGGTTCTGATTCTGGTTCCTCGCCCCATGTGGTATTGACAGCAGTGACACAAAGAACAGACCAGGCATTGTCACCCTGGGGATGAGTGCCCAGCACCACCAGGCACTTTCATCTGTGGCCAGTGTGAGCCACAGGGCTGGGGAGCAGCCCCACCCCACCACCAGCAGTATAAACGGTGCTGGGTCAGCAGTGCTGGGCAGAAAACCATCAGTAGAAGTCAGAACCAGCAGGCCAGCGCCAGCTAGCAGCAGCAGAGCCTAGCAAGCCTCTGCTCTAGGGACAGGGATGAGACCCTCCCACCATGATGCTGACATTGTGCAACGCTGCACATAGTTGGAATCTCTTCCAGACCCCTCTTCCTAGACCCAGCTCCTAACTGAGCGGGAGGCTGTTTCCTCTCGAACCTTTGCTCTTCTGAAGCAGGCCTGGGGCAGCTCAGTCCTGTGACAGCAGCCAGCTGCACCTCCTGCCTGTTTATGAGACTCTTAACACCTATGTGGTGGACCAACTCAACTGTCAAGGGGATTGTGATTAATATGCAAAGTACCTTTGGTCTCAAAATTCTGATGTTCTGAGGCCGGGCATGTGGTGCATGAGAGGCAGAGGCAGATGGAGCTCTGTGAGTTCCAGGTCATACAGGGCTACAGAGTAAGACCCTGTCTCAAATATAAATAAGATTCTGATGTTCTGTTGTAAGAGTGGTCACTCTGAGTAGACACGTCACCAGTATCTGATCACATGTCAAAAGGCCCTAGACCTGGGCCTGGGCAGGCCACCGTAGATTAAGCACAAGAAGGGAGGGATTGCACATGAGTGCCATCAGTAGGTTTCAGACGTGCCGCCACAGCAACACTTTATGGCTGTTTGGTTTATGATAGGCCCCTCTGCCAGGGACAGAGAGGAACCAGGGAAATGAGTTTTTCCCTTGAGTGTGGCTGGGAAAGCAGCTGGCCTCCTTCACTTCGTGTTGTAGCCGTGGACGGTCCCCTTCTGTCTCCCAGCAAAAGAGCATCTGCCTCTGCCACTGCCATGCAGTTTCTTGCACTGAGGAGTAGAAACAGTCTCACTTCCCAGTGAGAGTGAGGAGGGGCCACCTACACACGTGGCTGCCTACACACGTGGCCGCCTATACATGTGGCCTTTCCTCTTACAGTGGCTCAGTCTTTGATGTCCAGTAGGTGTGGCCTAGCATTTGGCTGGCTGATTTTGGTTCGGTCTTCAAAGTGCTAAGACTAACCTCCAGATCTGACCATTGTGCCCAGCCCCTCCCTAGAAAAGCCTCCCTGTGTCACCAGATCTTTGCTGTCCGCAAACTTCCTGTGCTGTAGAATGGAGCTGCTCTTCGGCTCCACCTCCAGTTGCTGAGGCTGTGATTCTTTGGTCACATCCTTGTCTAGATTTTCTACATCTCAATCTCTTTTCTTTTTAAAAAAGAAATGTTTGTATTATTGCTGTGTGTGAGTGATGGGTGTGGGTGCACATGCATTGGCCTGCGTGTAAGGGTGTGTGTGTATGTGGAGGCCAGAGGACAACTTCTATAGAGTCGCTTCTCTCCTTCCGCCTTTACATGGGTTCCAGAAATCGAGCTCAGGCTGTCAGACTTGCACTGCAAGTGCCTTTACCTGCGACCATCTCATCACTTTTTTTTTCTTTGGCGCCGGATTTCACGCCATCATCCAGGCAACTCAAGGCTCTCCTGCCTGGCATCCCAAGTGCTAAGATTACAGGTGTGCACCCACCATGCCCAGCTCTGGGTCTTGATTTCCTCTTCCTTTTCTATACCAGACAAGCGTTCCCCTCTGCCTACAGTGGGATGCCATACAGAGCAAGGATGCTGTGTCCTGAGCTGTGTGTACCAGTCAAGATGCATTGTGTGTCTGAGCAAATGCCTTTCCCTCATAGAGTGCTGGGAACAGTGAGTGGTCAGAGTGGAGTGCCGTGCAGGTCTCCCGGAGGACTGTGCTGATGGAAGGATGTGCTCACACACAATGCTTCTCCCCGAACTCACTTTCTCCTTTGTGTGTGTTTTGACAACGCAGCTCCGGCTCTCACCTTGTCTTCATCCCATCCCTGAGGGACGTGCACCATGAGCCCGTGTACCCACAGCCACCTTTCATCTACTCCGAGCTGTCTCAAGAGGACAAAAAGGTACCCGTGCCCCCTAGCAGGCAGCCAGGGTGTGGGTAGGCTCTGGCAGTGGGTGGGGGCTGAGGGACCTTTTCAGGAAGAGCCTGACTCCTAAACTCCTGTTTCCAACAGAGGTGATTGTAAGTTTGCTACACGTGGGTTGGTCCCTTTGGATGGCCCCCATTCCTTAGAGACCCCAGCTTTTGTGGGGAGGAACTTTCAGTTCCACACAGAGGTTCATGTCGGCCCTTCTTGTTTTAGCGAGTGCAGTTTGTGTCGGAGCCTTGCAGCCTCTCCATAAATGGAGTGATCTTTGGCTTGACGTCCACAGACCTGCTGTTTCACATGGGGGCTGAGGAGATCAGTAGGTGAGAAGATACCCGGGCCAGCAGTGGACAGCTGGCTCCCAGCACCCTGGCCCTGACACCTCCAAGACACCCTTTTTTTTTCTTTTGGGACAGAATCACTGACCTGGAACTCACTGTGTAGACCAGGCTGGCTTTGATCTGACAGAGATCTGGCTGCCTCTGCTGGGATTAGAGGCATGCAACACCGTGCCTGGCTTAGACCGGGTGTCTTAAGAGCCACACTTTATGCCAAAAACTTTGGCCATTTGTGTCTCTGCCAAAGGTGGGATCAAGTATGCTTGTTCCCATCTACCGGGTCTAAGACCTCAAAGAACCACATCTGTGTGTCTTCGCATGAAGGTACAGGCTGAAAGTCTACTCTCTACTCCCTTTTCCCTTTCCTCTCTCTACTCCCTTTTTCCTCGTGTTCTATTTGTGACCTGAGCACACAGGTTTGCCTTTCTGTGGAGGGTGAACTGTGGATTTACCAGAATAGTGAACGTGTGGCTGGCAGAGAACCAGACTCAGCCAGACCTGGCCTCTGGGCTTGGCAGTTGGCTCATCTGTCAAGTCTTGCTTGATGGGAAGGAGATGGGCGAGTCAGGAGTTCAGGAGCTGGGTGTGTGCTTTGGACTGAGGTTTGACACAAAGTCAGCGACCTGTGGTGGTGAAGTTGCATCTTCTTGCACAAGACGGTGCCAGGGCTGAGACCTCCCTTATCCTGGTTTCCAGGATTTTTCTCTTTCCGAGGCCCAGAGCCTCGCTGCCCTGTCCTGGGGAACAACCCACTGCCTGGGGTGGGCCCCAAGCTTCCCCAGAGGCTTCCTGCTATAGCTGTGTTCCTGCCGTTTAGCTTTTCCCCTGCTAAGTCTGAAGAGGCCTGGGCTGGAAACCAGGTTCCACTGTCTATCTCTTGCTCGCTTCCTTTCCCAGCTCTTCCGGGACTTCCGACAGATTCAGCAGAATTCTCAAGCACATCCTGACCCAGAGGAGGTGAGTGTACCTGCCGACTTCAAAGGGTAACCCGAGGTCAGAGCTCTGATATGTTTGACTGTCAGAATCTTTGCCAGGCCCCAAAACCAGGAAATTTCACCATGCTGACAAAACCAAAAGACCAGTCCACTGGGGCTGGAGAGGGCTCAGCGGTTAAGTGCAGCACTGGCTGCTCTCTCAGAGGACTGGGGTTCAGTTCCAGGGATCTGGCATCTCTGTGGCCTCTGTGGCCACCCCTCCCCCAACACACATAAATACATACATAAATCTTTTATTAAAAAAAAAAAAAAAAGCCAGCCAGGCATGGTGGCACACGCCTGTAGTCCTAGCACTTGGGAGGCAGAGGAGAGAACCTGCTTCAAATAGAAAAAAAAAAAAAAAGGCCCTGGGCGTGGGGGCGTACAGGCAAGCAGAGCTCAGGGAGTTCGAGGCCAGCCTGGCCTACATAGTGAGTTCCAGGACAGCTGGGGCTACAGGGAGACCCTGTCTCAAAAAAACAAAAAAAAAAAAAGGCCCTGGGCGTGGGGGCGTACAGGCAAGCAGAGCTCAGGGAGTTCGAGGCCAGCCTGGCCTACATAGTGAGTTCCAGGACAGCTGGGGCTACAGGGAGACCCTGTCTCAAAAAAACAAAAAAAAAAAAAGGCCCTGGGCGTGGGGGCGTACAGGCAAGCAGAGCTCAGGGAGTTCGAGGCCAGCCTGGCCTACATAGTGAGTTCCAGGACAGCTGGGGCTACAGGGAGACCCTGTCTCAAAAAAACAAAAAAAAAAAAAGGCCCTGGGCGTGGGGGCGTACAGGCAAGCAGAGCTCAGGGAGTTCGAGGCCAGCCTGGTCTACATAGTGAGTTCCAGGACAGCTGGGGCTACAGGGAGACCCTGTCTCAAAAAGATAAAAACAAAAAACAAGAGCCAGCCCATGAGCACAGTGAACACAGCGCAGAAGCAGAGGCGGGGTCCCTCAATCACTGCTACAATGCCACCATCATCTCCACAGCTACTACCCGCTCTACCCACCCCATGAGGACATGGCCATAGACTATGAGAATTTCTACACCTACGCACAGCTGCTGGTCACTCCAGATGTCTTCATAGTCCCATCAGAGCTGAGGTACTTTGTGAAGGTAGGTGGCACTAGGTTTTTCTAGAAACATCAGAACCAGCCTTTGACTCCCGCTCTTGCATCACCCTGCACTCACCGTACCCAGGTCTGCTAAGGAGGACCGTGGCCTCTGAGGCCCAGCACCCGGGCTTTCTGCTTTCAGGGAGGGGATGGGATGTGACAATGAGTCTGTGGGTAAAATGCAGTGTGAGTCAGCAGTGAGGAACAAGGGCCTCAGGCCTCAGATGGTGGCTTTCTTTGAGACAGGGTCTCCCTGTGGAGAGGGAGGGTCTCCCTGTGGCCTCAGCTGGCCTGGAACTCGCTCTGTAGACCAGGCTGGCCTCGAACTCACAGAGATTCACCTGCCTCTGCCTCCTGAGTGCTGAGATTAAAGGCGTGCACCATCATGCCCAACTAGGATTGAGTCTCTTGCAGGAAGTCCATCCATACCAGCTCTTTTTTCAAGCTAGATCCAGTTGGATCTCAAGCAGTGGTTTGGGGCTTTTTTTTTCCCCTTCTGGGATGGGGCTCTTTGAGGCAGAGTCCCCATACCTCAGCCTCCTGAGTGCTGGGATTACAGGTGTATACATGCCTCCCCACTCTAAATTTTTGTTTCCTTGTGGGAAAACAAGAAACAGCTGGATGAGGTTTGTCCCCTAGTATGAGAATTCATTAGCATCTTGCCAGGCCACATATTCTGTTCTGTCCCAGGAATTCAGTTTTCCAGTAACAAGTTAACATATTTACATGTGTTTGGTTGCCTTTGTTTCCATTTTACAAAACTCTATGAATCTCAGCATCAACCCTTAAACCCAGCCAAGGACCTCCAAACCCAGGCTCCTCTTTTCTTTTCCAGGACATATTCGGCTGTGTCTGTATGAATCCTGGACGGCTCACCAAAGGGCAGGTGGGAGGTACCTTCGGCCGTCTTTACCTCAGGAGGCAGCCTGTGGCCTCAGACAGTGACAGCCAGGGGAGGCAGAGCCTGAGTGTGGCCGCACAAGTGGTCAGGATCTGAGTCTTCAGGCCATTCTTGTAGACCTTGGATATTCATCAGCCCAGGTACAGCCTTCTGATGACCAAACTGTTGGGAGCACCCCGAAAAGGAGTTCACCATGGGGCCAGGGCTGCTAGATTGGGGCCTGGTACTGAAGGCCTTTGCAGCTGGGCCTGGCTCTGTCTGGGTCATGTTTCTCTCCATGAAGCTCCTGCTTTGGAAGAAATGATATGGGGTGTCCAGAAATGGAGGGGCTCTGGAGACAGCCTGCTCAGAAAAGCAGGAAAACTGATTTTCTATGTGAATCAAACACAGCTTTTGGAGAAATAAAGATAAATTCTGAATATAACTGAGTTTAATCTTTCTGGATAGTGGTCAAAGAATGTTGCTTACTTGACCTATGTGCAGGGAAGGCAGAGCTCCGGTCACATTGGGGTTCCATCCAGCCCCTTGGAACTCTCCCAACCCCATCCTGTATCCTCCCAAGGCCCCCAGGCTACAATGCTGAGGGGGACGCCTGGCTTTGGCTGCGGACCGAGCAGCTGGCAGGCTGCCTGGCCCTCCCCATGCAGTCTCTCACATGCGTGCTGCAATCCCAGCCTGACCTCGCCATCTGGAAGAGGCCATCTTGCTGAGCAGTTCCAAAGCTGGAGTCCTGGTGGCAGCCACCCTGCTAAGTCCTGCAGTAGCTTGGGCTTTGCTATAGCCCAGAGCTCTCAGATCAGGTCAGGGTGCCCAGGATCCCTCTGCTCATACCCTGGCACCTGGGAAAGTCTGTCCAGAGTTGAGTTTGGTTCCTGTCCCCAGACAGACAGGCTGCCCTGCCTCACATGCCAGAGGCAAAATGGGAGAACCTCCACTGTCAGGGCCTGGGAAGTGTGAGGAACAGCAAGCTGACCATGCCTCTGCCTTGATGCACATAAATAGGTAACCACAGAGCTAGCCTGTGCTCCCTACCTCCTCTGACAGGAGTTGGCATTAAGCCACAGGCCTCTCAACACAAGGAACTGCTTGCTGCCTTTGCATCAGTGCCTGTGGGAGAGAACTAGAAACAAGTCCCAACTTGAGCTAATTTCCCTCTTCTGGCTCCTACACACATGAAACATCCAGTGGTCCACACTGAAAGGTCATCCTGAAGTGGCATGCTTGGCACCCAAGCCCCTCCCCAACAACCCAAAACACCCCGACTCAGAAGCATTTGTGTTTTTACCAAACCAAACATCAGCTGGAAGCCGCCCCTCGCTGCCTTGGAAAGCTCAGGGCTGGGAAGATTAGACCACCAGGCCTCCCACCATGATAAACAAGGGCTCCAGCCGCATCCTGCGGCCCGCCCTTATCATGGGCGTCCACGAGGCTCTTGGACTTGTGATATTTGCCAGTTGTTGAGCTGCTTCTGAAGAAAACTGTGGGGAATGGTATGGTCTTGGCCCCCGCCTTGGCAACAAACAGAGCCCCACCCCAGACTCGGGAAGATTTGGAGGCCTGGGTAGGGATGGGGAGTTGGCAGGTGGGGTGGTAAGTAAAGGGAAGGGGCCAAAAGCCTTGGAAAGAGAAAGCAGCTGACACTAGGCATGAATGGAAGCCCAGGACTGTTGCCTAGATACAAGTCACGTGACTACCAGAGTGCTTCCTGAAGGGCCTAGGGGGCATTTAAGGCCCAAACAAAAAGGTTATGAACCCAGAGAGCAGACAGGTCTGGCAGATGTGCCTCGCTGCCACCAGAAGCCTCCTTTTTGCTTGCCTGGAAGTCAGTGCCAAGCAACTGGCAGCCGGCTGACTTTCCCTGGACCTGGCCTCAGCTGTGTCCCCAGTTTGCTACAGCATCTGTTATCCACAGAGCTCACACGCGTGTCCACATGTTGGCACATGACCGTGGACTCGAGGCTCTGGGACCGAGGCACTGGTGATGAAGGGCCTGAAGAAACGGTCCTGCCTCACCCAGGGCTTCTGCCTCCCTCCCTGAGGGGAGCCGCTGCTCTTCTGTCAGGGCTTCCCTTTAGGAGGCTAGCCCCTTCTCTGGGAGGGTGGGACAGAGCTGCTGAGGGGAATGAAAGCCCCTCATACCTCCCAGTGTGGGAACTTGGTTGGGTGCCAGGAGCAAAGCTAGGGAATTGGAGCCGCGAGGGACACCCAAGGGTTGGAGGGCTGGGACATCGCCAGGGTGCTGGGTCCTTCCACCCTTCCATCCTGTCCTGCTTTCTGGGGCCCTGCTTTCTCAGTGTGGGTTTCCTTCCCTTGACCCGGGTCACCCAGCCCTGCCGTTTCCCCTGGGCTGATCCCTCACTTCTTTGCTGGAGCACATTTCCTCTGGCCTGACCCTGGGCCAGGCAGAGCCACCGGACTGGCTGGGAGTGGTATTTTAACTTTTTTTGGTCTTTTTTCTGAAACAGGGTCTCCCTGCAGTCACAGCTGGCCTGGATCCGCTGTGGAGACCAGACTGACCTCAAACTCACAGAGATTCCCCTGCCTCTACCTCCAGAGTGCTGAGATCAAAGGCATGCACTACCATGCCAGGCTGGTATTTTAACATTTTAAAAAATGGTTATTTGAGGCATATAACAAACATCATCTTTTTAGTTTAGTTTATCTTCTTTTTTTTTCCCTTGAACTCATGAACTCACATAGATCTATCTGCCTGCCTCTGTGTCCTGGTTTGTTTCTTCATTGCTGTGACAAAACACTCTGACCACTACCAACTTGGGGAGGAAAGGGTTTATTTATTTTACATCTCCCGGGTCACAGTTCATCGGGGAGCCCAAGGTAGGAACTCAGGGCAGGAACCTGGAGGCAGGAGCTGGAGCACAGGCCATGGAGGAACGCTGCTTACTGGCTTGCTCCCCTGGCCCCTGCTCAGCCTGCTTTCTTATGCAACACAGGCCCACCTGCCCAGGGGTAGCACCACCCACAGTGGACTGGGCCCTCCCACATCACTCAGCAATCAAGAAGGTGCCCCTCAGACATGGCCACAGGCCAGTCCAATAGAGGCAATTCCCCGGTTGAGGCTCCCTCAACCCAGGTGTGTCAAGTTGACACTAAAGCTATCCAGCACACTCTGCCTCCCGAGTGCTGGGATTAAAGGCATGTACCACAAGCCTGGCTAGTTTAGTTTTTTATTTTATGTGTAAGAGTGTGGTTTTTGCCTGCATGTATGTAAGTGCACCCGTGTCATACAGTGCCCATAGAGATCAGAAGATGGTGTCAGATCCTCTTAGCCGCCATGTGAGTGCTGGGAACCAACCCAAGTCTTCTTCAAGAGCAGCCAGTGCTCTTAACCACTGAGCCATCTCTCCAGCCCCTGGTTTCGGATTTTTTGAGACAAAGTCTCACTATGTATCCCAGGCTAGCCTAGTACTCTTTACGTAGCTCACCAGGCTAGCCTCAAACTCATGGCCATCCTCCTGCCTCAGCTTCCCGAATGCTGAGATTGACAGGCATATGCTGTCACACCCAGATCTTTTTTAAATTAGCTCTTTATTTACTTATTTATTTATTTTTTTTATTTATGATAAAGCCTCACCCTGGAGCCCAGGCTGGCCCCTAACTTTATTACTCCTCTTGCCTCAGCTTCCAAAGTGCTAGGACTAGCCAGGTGTGTTGACATGGTGACACACATCTCTAATCCTAGCACTTTGAAGGTGAAGGCAGGAAGATCAGAAGTTCAAGGCCAGCCTTGACTACAGATCAAGTTCAAGGCCACTTGGGCTGCATGGGGGCCAGTGAGATGACTTAGCAGGTAAGAATGCTTGTCACCAGATCTGACAACCAGAGGTTGATCCCAGGATCCTCTTGGTGGAAGGAGAGAAATAACTCCTGCAAGTTGTCCTATGACCTCCACATGCATGCTGTGGCTTGCACGTACACACAAAGTAAATGCATGTAATTTTTTTTAAGTGCTGTAAGACTGGAAAGATGACTCGGTAGGTAAAGACACCTGCTGCCAAGCGTGACAACTTCAGTTCCATCCCCAGGACACACATGGTGGAAGGCGAGAACTGACAAGTTATCTTCTGACCTCTGCACAGGCCCTGTAGAGCACACACGCATGCAGACACACGCACACACACAAAATACATAGATAGGTTTTTGAGACAAGTTCTCCCTATATAGGACTGGATAGCCTGGTACTCACTATGTAGACCAGGCTGGCCTTGAAAACACGGAGATCTGCCTACCTCTGCCTCCCAAGGGATTAAGGTATGTGCCAACATGCCCAGCTCAAAAGAAATAGGTTTGTTCGTTTGTTTTTCTTATAATGCTGGCATTACAGGTATGTGTAACCACACCTAGCTAAGTTCACCTTTTAATAAAAGGATTTTTTATTTTTGGTTGTGTGTGTGCAGGTGCCCTCAGAAGCCCTAAGAGAACATCAGATCCCCTGGAGCTGGAGTTACAAGTGGTTGTGGTCTGCCCAACATGGGTGCTGGGGCACAGAACTTGTCTGGAAATGAAACTCAAATCCTCTGGAAGAGCAGGAAGCACTCTTAATGGCTCAGCCGTCTCTCCAGCCCCTAATTTCACCATTTTACAGCCTACATTTCAGTGGTTTTTAGGATGTTCACAGTGTTGTGCAGCTCACTACATAATTCTAAAATATTTTTACCACCCCAAATGGCAACTCCATGCTGGTTAGCTGCTGCCCTCCTTCCCCTGCTCTTGACAACTACCGAGCCGCTTCTATGGGTTCACTGCTCTGGAGATTTTGTAGCTGTGGGGCCCTTCGATGAGGTCTTTCCTATCTGGTCTCTCTCACTAGCATGGTATTTTCCAGATTCGTACGTACGTATATGCCCATTCTATGGCCTCAGTGCTTCTTTTATTTATTTTTATTTTATGTATATGAGTGCTTTGCCTGCGTGTAAGTGCATCCATATATTCGATGCTCTTGGAGGTCAGAAGAGGGAGTTGGATGTCCTGGAACTGGAGCTATAGATGGTTGTTAGC